AATAAAAATAAATAAATAATATAGCCTTTTATTCAGATCCAACTAATAACTGTTACATAATTTAAAATTACCTAAGATTTGCATTACATTATCTATAAAATACCTATTACTTATTTTCTGGACTACTGTTTTCCGGTCGGCAAAGGCGGAGGCAAGAACGATATGAATGGAAAAGGTTGGACTCCTCCAACCTTTTCCATTCATGTCGTTCTTGAGCTACTCTGTGTCATGTAACTCCTGCCACTTGCCTGAGGTCATCATCCCATCTTTTAAGAGGTCTACCCCATTTTTCTGGTTCCTTCTTTGGGGTACCAACTGGTTACGATTTTGCTTAAATATGTAGTAGATAATATATTTGATGTTGATATTCTATTCAAAGTCCAATATCACTAACCGACTACTTTGTGTTACAAGAATAGAAATTCAGAAATTTTCTGACAAAACTGTAAGCAGAAGCTAGCGAATTTAATTTTGATTTTCATTTACACCATGAAAAGATGAAACGTCCTTTATCTATTCGTCTCAAAATAAACTTCCAAAGTCCACAAAGCATTAATCTTAGTCGGCTTTGCATTAATTAACATTAATTGTATCTTTTTAAACACCAACGAAAGATAACAACGCTGTAGGAAGATTTCATTCAAAAGTAATATTACTTTATCATTAAAATACAAAAATTTGCGAATATTTTCTGACATAAATACGCAAAAGACTTTCTAATTATCACTCTAAATGCCATCTGGCTTGCGGTGGCTATTGTTATTTGCGAATCCTACGCATCTTGAACTCATTTGTAGGGGTTGAAGTTCTAAGAAAAGTTTAATTGTGTAGATATAAATAATATCAAATACTGCTATAAATGTGGTAAAATTATTAATTTAAAAGAACACTAAATTACAAGAATATCAAATTATTTTGGGGATAAAAACGCGTAATGTTATAAAAAATGTTTTACTAGAACAAATAATCGCAAGCACGACAACATGTCGTGGTGGCCCGGAGGTTTAAGACGCTGGCTTCTCATGCATGAGAATGTGGGTTCGAAACCTACCAACGGCAAGTATCAATGTGACTTTTTCCGAGTATGTACTTTCTAAGATTATTTAGACACCACTGACAAACGGTGAAGGAAAACATCGTGAGGAAACCTGGGCTTATAATTTCTAATTATAAGTTTGTAATCGCCAACCCGCATTGAGCAAGCGTGGTGATTAATGCTCAAACCTTCTCCGTGTGAGAAGAGGCTTTGCTCAGCAGTGGGCATTTATAGGCTGTTGATGACTGATGACGACAACATGTTAAGTATAATTTTATTATTCTACGTTATGCTGATAGGTTCGACATGTTATGTCTTGACTAATAGCAACCTGAACAAAAATAGACACATTCTCATCACGTACGATACCTAATTAGAAATACTTCATGATCAGATTTATGTCTAATGCAAAACAAGGAAAGAGCCGTTATTTACAAACCAAATAGTGTAAACAGTTTGAAATCACAATTTACTCAAATCAAGCTTCTGTGAATAATCGATAGCACTTTACAGAAGCGCTGCGTAGAAAATCATTTGCATCGAAACCGAGTACGGAGTACGAATGGAGCCCATTGTCTATACCTCAACAATTCCATTGTCAGTCGATTCAGTCTAGTTGATTGACATTTCACAGAATGTAGTTGGTACCGAAATTGTTACGTTTGTTACAACAGTTGACTATTTTGATGTAGAAAATGGAATGTCTTTTTAAAATACGCGGTGTTGTTGCCAGAATCATTTTTTGAAAAATATTAAACTTCCAGTTGTAGATTCCGACCATATTTCCAAGCAAGCCCTGGATTGGAATCCCCAGGGAAAAGGGAAGCGTTGCCGCCCTCGGCAAACCTGGCCTCGTACTGTGATGGCAGAAGCGGCGAGTATCGGAATGACGTGGAGCAAGGTGAAGAGAGAAGCTCAAGCCCGATCCAGATGGAGAACCTCCTTGGACGCCCTCTGCCGCATAGGGGACATAGGACTATAAGTCAAAGTCAAGTTGTAAATTCATGATAGTGCCTCATTGGCCGAGTGGTCGCAAGTGCGGTTACCGGGCAAAAGGGTTTCGAGTTCGATTCCCGGGTCTGGCAAAATATTACTGGGTTTTTTAAAACAATTCTCAGTAGTAGCACGGAGTTTGGAATTATGCCCGGTATGTGGCAATATGCTCACATATTACATGAGACTCATAACATAAATAGTGAAAAGTGGGTATTACATGGTTCAGTGATAAAAGGCGAGATTTTATGTTATGTAAATTTATAATACACACATGCGTACACTCACTTTCTCCATTAATTATGACTGAAACTTGATCTACTATTCAATGAATAATAGATAAACGAGAAAACTATCATTTTATTGATCAAACCTCAATTCTTCCCATGAAACGAGAAACATCGGTTATCGATACCAATCAATCATCAATGGACTGGTATCATTCCAAACCACGTGTGGGTTATCGAATGACAAAATCACAATTGATAGCCAATCGACAGTGGACACCACTATTACGAGAGTTTTTTTTCTAAATTAACTAAAAATCGCTTTACTCACGTGAATATACTGAAAAAAGCTCTACTAGTTTCGAACTACAGAGGGGTTCTTCCTTATGAGCAGCGTGCGCAGTTCAAGTTTTTTTTTTATCATGATTTTATTATTTACTAACTTCTCCTACACAGTTTCACCCACTACTCTTCTCTTATATGACTCGTACACAAAACTGCGATGCGATGGGAATTGCTGCGATGCGATTTCGTGCGACAAGGCGTCTTCCAGTATGACCAATCCTTCGACGACCGTCAACCGTACTAAACATATTTTAAATTGAAGACTAGGTCGTGACATGGATCGGAAAAATAAGTGTACACTTCTATTATTACGCAAGTTCTTGCGATGCGCAGAGGTAACTCGCACATCTTTGCGATGCGACGTCACATCTTCCTATTATATTAACGAATTACTGTCTCGATTAACCTGATATAAAGAAATGAGTCATCAAAATTAAAAAAAGAGATTTGGATGGTTTTAGGAGGACATTCAGGATTGCATGGTGGGCGCGTCGGCTGGACAACTGGCTGCCGCGCAACGTGTAGCGAGTTCAATTCCCGTACGTAGCAACTCTTTGTGTAAATTGTTGTATCAAGTTTGGGTGTTTACACGACACAGGTGAAAATCCCAGTGCGGGGCAACATTAAAAGAAAATCTACATCTCAAACACTAAACTACTCTTTGAACTAGGTACGTACTAAAGTCAACCAAGTAGTTCATAATACTTGCAATAATGATACAGTCGTAGCCTCTATTTTCAAAGAAAAACAGACATTATTAATCTTCCCTTTAGTTTCAAAGTCCAACTTGTTCTCGGAATCTCGTTATCTGATTTTGTAATCGGGTATTAATTTGATTTTAATTAAAACGCTTAGTACTAAATTCTGTGAAATATTGTTCAATGGAAGCTTATTTCCAGAAAGGTGGACAAAAGGTTTTGTAGCCTGTAATCGGATCGTGTATTTCTCACTGTTTATGAAATATAAATTTTGTATAAAAATGTAATCTTATGCCGTTTCAAGCGTTACTTTGATATTTAATTGATTTTTTTCATATCTCTCGCGTATGTTTATGTTCATTGTCTGAGATTAAATTATATTTTTTAAAGGTTGTTTTCTGTATTAAAGGTCAACGTGTAAATTCTACTTATAAGCTCATGAACTTTTATAAATAAGAAAACATGAATGAATAAGATCCGAATGAATAAGACTTCACGTAGATGCTTTGAATATTATAAGCCCTTAATGACCAAGCATTACTAGATGTAGGCAAGGACATTTTTTTAACAAAACTGCTGCAACTCCTATAAGCCAGGATCTACAGTAGATACAACCATGAAAACACCGGAAAACTGAAGTCCGGCGCGTCTCAGGGACATGAGTAACTGTCTTGGTTCCCGCAACGAAGTGAATCAGAAGATATTATAAGAGGAGAAGAAGAAAAAAAGGTGACATGGACTCTTAAAACAATGAATGTGCCTGGCTACTGTAGACTTACACGCAGAATATACACACATTGTCCCGAAGGATATTTGTCGCGTGACATGATCCGTCATTACACTTAATACATTACAGTGTTGCAAGTACACGCATACATAAATATACAACATTGACAGATTGGTGCTTCAATTAATTATAAGTGACATTATGTCCGCCTTTTTTCATATTATTCGCATCGAAGAATGTTGGATGCAGGTAATATGAAAAAATGCAAAAGAAAATCTCACTGTAATAATGTCAATACAATGACAGCAAACGTCTATGTAGCCGGAAAATATACCTACATAAACAATAAACCACTTCCGACTTTGTTCCCTCAGTCGACAGCTCTCTTCACTAGCAATAATTTCCTAAGACAGTTCCGAAGCATTGTTATTATTTTTCCTATTAGAAAGTAGTCAATTCAATGTAAAATATGAGTGAAATGAACCAGTACCTTAACACAAGTCCCTAAAGTTTTATTTACATTTTCAATTTTGTGTGAAAAGTTCGTTTAATCCACGTTTATTTTTTGTAAAAAGGTGTTGTTTATTTGGGATAAAACCCATGCAATAACAAAAGCTTTTGTTCTTAAAACCCAGATTTAACAATAATTGTTTTCGGAAACCATTATATGCGCTTAAAATAATTTATTGAGGTTTTTATTTTTAAAGAAAAATTTAAACACGTTCCTGCCTCGTTTATTGAGTGGTAAGGAAGAATTTCTGAAGGCAAATTTAATTTTCTGATCCAGGTTTATTTGGTAAAGCTGAAGTTTTAAAGAGCCTTTTTAAAGACGAAATTACTAGCTGACACCTACTCTTACTTCTTTAGAGTAAGTTTAAGTAACGATTTTTTAGGTTTATTATCTAAAACATTGTAATTGTCCTTACATAACTATCAGTAACAGGATAGTAATACTATAATAATCTTACACTTACATATAACACGGTGCAGAAATATCGTGCGGTGGGTACACTAGGATCGGTGGGGATGGCACTGGGGAGGGACTGTTCTTGCGTCTGCGCGCTACGAACACGCCCGCCATCACGATCAAGAGTACTAACGCTGCGCTCGCGCCACCCAACGCTACCAACACTGCTTCTGTTGACAAATTAAAATTACATGATAACTTTTTAAAACATATGCTATGGTATGTACTTAAAATTTCCTAGATGTTTGGGTTTATACCAAATTATCAACTGAAGTGTCAACTATTGTCACATTACTGTCTAAAATGTGACAAATTATTGTCTAAAATGTGGTAAGACAAATATTTTTTATGGTTTATTTAATTTACACGACATAGTTATGTAAACAAAATTTGTAAATAATTTATATGACTAGTCTTTTATAAAGCAGTTTTAAGTGATGATTCAAATCAAACTTTTATATTAAAACATTTGTATAAATAAGAAATTTCATTAAACTTGATGTTTTACTTTATCATTAGATACCTTGAAAATCTTTCAAAACAAATAAGTATTTACAAAAATAATGAATTCTGTACTAAGTAAAACATAAATAATGCCTACAAAACACTTCAGAACTTCGCTAAAAAGATTTATCGTGAAAAAGTACCTTGAAATTACTTTTGTAATAAAAACAAATTCAGCATTTTGTTTCTTACAAACTTATTATATGCCTGAACCATATAATTTACTGTGTCAGGATATATATTTTAATATCCTGTATTAAATAGTAAACAAATATTTATTAAACAAAAGTAAACTGTAATGATTTATGAAATCATCGTGGTCTTCACCACTGTTGCTTTTTATTTTCAGCCAAGCAGTCAGCGGGACATATTATATTAAACATAAAATTCAGTTCATTGACTCACTATAATAATCATGAGGACTAACCTACACTACTACCTACTTATACTTTCAGTTTGTCGATTTATTAAAAAAGGACTTGTCACTGGTCACATCTTACAATTGAAAAAACAAAAAGAAATTCCACTATGCTAGAACTAAACACCCAAAAAAACCTGATCATTGATATTTATCAATGATCAGGTCAATTCAGGATTTGTATTTACAAATCCTGAATTATAAGTTCAGTAATGTTGCTCAGATAATAAACTTTTTAATTAAGTCACTTCAACTCTATTACTTCAAAAGTTGTTTTAAGTACTGCTACTTGCTACGAATTGTAATAAAATTTTGCTAGTTTGAAATAGAAGCGTTTTGCACTTAAGTTTCCCCTTAATTAACACTTTACTCTCGTATTATTTAAGTATAAGTAGTGGAACTAGTGTTTACATAACTGTTACTTAGAGCTAAGTTGTGTCTTAAAAGTGTTATAAAGTTTAATCAGATTAGGTTATTACTTTACTGAGATATTTTGTTCCAATTCAATGTTTTTTTTCTAGTTTAGATAACATAATTTAGAGAGATAATATTTTGAGAAATACCCAAATATTTTTACTATTTACCTTCATTTACTACTAAGTTACCTGTGATAACAATAACATAGATACTAAGATAACCAGAATTTACATTTGTATTTTAGCAAATTTGTCACATTTTTACAACTAAACGAAGAAAATAAAATCACAAATATGATAAGTATATTTGGCGCAGCTCACTATATTTTGTGTACATTTGCTTGGCAAATTTCATTCGATTCGTCATTCGTAAACCTTTACTCACTCAAATCTCTTGAGACTTAGAACTGACTTATTTAAGAGCAAAAAGACGGCAATAAAATGACAGATGCTTATTTTCTTTTTTCTTTTCAATTCACAGGCTCTTGGTTTGAAGATTACAGAGTACGAAGAAAATATGATATGAAACCATGAATAATTTTATGAGACTCATTAAAGCAAGCATCGTGTTGTATATAACGTTCGTACATAAACATTGACAATGAAAAGGGCCTTAATAATGTCGTTAATGTTAGAAATAGACGCGCCACATAAAATGTTGTCAGAGTACTTAATTTTTATGTGGACATAAATTAGATATTTTGGGTAAACTAATTAAAAAAGCAATAAAGTTGATGAAAACATTATTGTAAAATGGTGTTTTATTAATCACGACATAAGCCTTTGTAATTGGATCATTGTTAATCTGAAGCAGGTTAAATTGTTTGATTCGTACATTTCTCGTTTAACTTACTGTAAGATTTAATTCCTATTATAGTCACCAGTAAATCTGTGACTGATTTAAGTCGAATTTTTGTCTATTTAAAATTTCTCAATGAATTTTTTAAAATATTTATTGCATCGGAATAAAACAAACCACTCTTGTAATTATTTAAACTTATACAAAACACATTTATGTTGCCATTACGTATTTCTAAATATCCAGTTAACAATTTGACTTCATAAATACAAACAAGAATAACAATCACATTATTCCAACTAAAACAGATCGCAATCTGTTGTAAGAGGTGGCAATAAACTGAACAGTGATAAGTTACCGATACCCTTCGGGCACTACCTAATACCTAACTAGGTTACAGTTCGATTCGTCTGAGCCGATTTACGTCAAAAGATTTACTGAGGAAGATATTCTGTTTTCTTTTGACACAATTCAATCAATATTCTGTCACTAGATTAAATTATTAGGCCTTGATGTTGTGTACCTACTACGCCGTAGTACTATAGCTACGGCGTAGCCTTCTAGCTACGTAGCGATATCAGATAACCAATATTTTAGATAAATTGACTATCTAGACAATAGTGGTAACATTATATTATAGGAATTTCAATTTTAAATTGCTATTAAATTGATAAAAGAAATATTGTGACTATGCAAAGAACATTGTGATATGTATGTATTTTAAATTCGATTATTTTCAGTTGTGTTCTATCGATAGATATTCATATTGAATGTGCACGTGCGATTTTTCAGTTGATTGCATAATAAATACTGGGTAAAGAAAGTATTTTTAAATAAGCTAAAATAGAAAATAGTGGCAGGAACATAAGTTACACGTGTGTAAAGCAATACATAATATTTTTTAACGAAGCACTATTATGTAAAGAAGTCGGCATATTAGTTTTATGTATATTAACATAAAATTCAAATAACAAACCTCTCAAATTCACAGCATTCGCGATTGAGAACTCTGAGACTGACGCAGAAGTCGGTGACTGCTCGAAGCTTGGTTTTGGAGGAGCGGTCTCGAGCTGGCTGAGGCCTTCCACGTGGCGTGACGTCACTGGGTCCTCGTACTCCTGTGGTCGGTCATAGTAATCAGCGTTCTGTTTCTCTCGTGGTTCCTCGATCTCGTCTGGATCGTAGTCCGAATCGTAATCTATTGACAAAGAAAAATGAAATAATTAATAATTTGGTATAATGATGTCTACAAGTCCATACTTATTCTAATCGATTCTAGTGATTAAGAAACATAATACTCTCAAATAATCTATTGAATAGGCCAAATCAAACTTTCTTTTGAAAAAATCTAGAATCGTGATCTGATCAAACTCACACTTACAACTATTTTCAACTCAAGAAAGCCTAATCAGTTTCTTTTTACTTTCTTTTGAAGTTTCCAGAAAGTTCTAGACTAATCATTAGGCCATATTTTATTACTGTATCAAGCAAAACCTCCTTGCTTGATTTCAAGGTCACGCCTTCATTGAATAATTTTCATGACACATTCGATAACCTTGATAGGTTTGACATTATTATGATATTAGTAATTGTCAACATACGACCAATTTATTTGAGTGTTACGTAATATTTAAATCGATACCAACCTATTGGCATAGTTATATGTATGTAGGTAGTGATATAATAAATACTTTTATACTAATTACCGTTTGTAATGATAATGCTTATGAATGTTTGTTACTCTTTCACGCAAAAATTATTGAATAAATCTTTATGATATTTGGCCTTGGAATAGATTACAGTAGAGAATAACACATGCGCTACTTTTATCTGAAGGCGAGAAACTATTGTCCAAAGCTATTTTATTTATTATATCCAATATTAAAGTATAAAATATTCCTAAAATTTCAAATCAGTTTCAACGCTTTGATAACATGTCGCCGTACCTACAAAGATTAAATTATTACACACATACCTAAATTAACATCACCAACCAAAATGGTCTCTCATGCCACGGAATTTCTATACAAACACAGACCAGCTTACAATGTGTTGGTAATCTCTTACACTCACGGAACTAACTACTAATCAGTGTAGTCGGAAATTCACAAATTATACAAACGGGTCTCTTAATCAGATTAACAAAGGTATTGAGTTGAATTACGTACAGGTACGAATAGTTTCCTACATTTTCTGCTCCATATTCTGTAATGATTTAAATGTTCTCTGTACACACATCACACAATCTGCATGTAACACCCACTAATCGTAATTTAAGTACGTTACATATATTCTACTTTAGAGGGCATACTAACAGAAGAAGATAAAATAACACAAAATTCTCGTGTTACGTCTTACTTTCCGAATTCCTTGTGATAACTGGTAGTTTAGTAATGGTAAAGTTCTAAACTTTCCAGATAACCCCCATATTGCCTTTTTAATGATCGCACTATAGTGTTTTGATTAAAATCTGATTTAAAACTTTACTAGAATCAACCAATTACCGATTTAGCTCTTATTAAACTTCAACTTTTAAATAAAGTCTTTGATCTGACCTTTCGCCTTAACTACCCGTTACGACTTAAAGAGATTTGTTACACAAGTAAAACTAACAGCTTTATGTGTTTTCTGAAGCACTGAGCTAAAGATGTTAAGAATAGTTATCCATCCGAAAACTGTAGAAAAGCTAGACTTCAGTTTTTTGTTTAATTACTACTACAATAATAAATGTCGTAAGACTTAGCGTTATGTGATTCATTATTGAAGCTATTCATGATTATAAGTCCGAATCATGACATGAAACTAGTCGAGCACCCCCTAATGTGGACAAGGAAATACTGTGTATTGCAATACGGGTATTCAACAATTATTAAAATGTAAAGTAACTACGGTATACTTATTCACTTTTAAGATAAATCAAAGTTTCGGAAAAGGATTGGCCTTAGGTTAACCAATTTCTGCCATTAACAAAACCCATTATCGGGGAGAAAACAAGGTCATTGATTAACCTACCCTTCATTAAATCAATGTCAGAACAGTTCGCTCAATGCTAACGGAACATTGATTACACGAGTACATTGACCTGTGCATATGTAATTGACCAATCAGACGGACAATCATTGATATTACATTACTGATGTATAAATTATGTAACAGACTGTAGGTTCATTGATATTGGTGATTTATTATGTAATCACTTCCCATCATGTAGTGTTTTGACTGATTTCTGAAGTTTGCGTGTTCATTAAAAACTCAATGTTTTAAGAGATATAACTAGTTTGAAATATTAGATGTACCTAAGTTGATTAAAAATCCGTTGACTCAATAATTTAGGTGTGTAACCAAAACAGATTTTTTGCAAATCATTTTTTTACTAGGTACATACGTCCTCTACTATCTGGTATATAGACCATGCATCCATAACTTGAAAAAACTTACCTACGTTCACTATACTCGGTGCTGCGGATACCACATCGGATAACCGGGGCTCCGTCGCAAAACAGGAGTAGGAAACTTATGGCACTAACTAAATGGTCTGTAAGAGTTCACTCTTTCGCCTTACCCAAGGCGGCAGAAGTCATTGGATGATTTCCCTATCAAAAAATAAATAAACAGGTTGTATAGTATACCGGTTACATTTTTATCATCATATCAGCCAAAAAATGTCTACTGCTGAACATAAGCTTCTCAATTATTTCCAGATTGGCCTGTTGGAACCGACCATTGCTTCCCTGCGACATTTTATTAAGGCTTCGGTCCATCTTGTGAGTCGACGACCTGTGTGTGTGACCGGGCACAAATCCAAACATAATAAAAGTGCTGAAATAAATTATTTGCCGTACAGACAAAGTACGATTACCCACTCTCCCCAATTTCCCCAATCCCCGAATCCTCGACAATCCTCAAATTCCTAGTCCCAGAAAAGCCGGTTCAAGAGCGGCGCCGATTGCTTACCATCACGTGATCCGTCCGTTCGTTTACCGGCTTATTCCGTAAAAAAGTAACTAACAATATAATAGCACACAATAATAACGTATTAAAAGTGACGTAAGCCAATAAATTATGACACACATTACGTTACAAGCTTGACAACACCAATTATTGGTATTATCTTTTATCAAATGCCTCTATTGAATATAGAGGTAATAATTACACTCGATCTCGGGTGTACTTTATGGGTCTGTGCGCTATGAGAGGTCAAATCATACATTCTAAGGCCGAAGTTTGTGGATTTGGCTAACTATGGTATGTTTTATAGTAACTATCGTGAGACATACTAAATTAACTAAAAGACGATGGTTGTTCACGTACACACCGCGGAGGAAGAGCAGGAGTGGGAACGGGGTAATTTTTTAGTCAGTAAGAGTCTAACACTCCCTCCCTCCTCGACCTGGTAGGAGCACTCATTCGATGATTCACGAGTACACTGAGATTGACACTCATACACTGAGAGAGACAATACACTGAGAAAAGTTCTGTGAAAAAAATCTGTAATATTCATTTTATGTAACCAAAACCCTAGCCTTAACGTTTAACCATCAATCTCTTAAAAACGAGTTGCAATATTTCGGTAATAAGTCTAAGCTTTATCGGTATCACTAATTAGGTAGTAAAAGGTGGGTGTTACATTGTACAGTAGCATAATGTGCACCCCTGCCTACCCCTTCGAGGATAAAAGGCGTGTTGTTATGTTATGTAATTAGGTTTTCTACCCAATGGAAGTTTTGCAAGTAAAGAGATTCAGAGACAGTCTATAGGTAGATTTATAGTTCGGAATGCATGCAACAAGAGGTCTAACTTGGGCTTCGTCACTATAAACGCCTAATGTTACTTGTTATTATATTATAAATGCAAAAGTTTCCGCGTTTTTGTGTTTGTTTGTTTATTTGTTTGTAACTCAATCACATCAAAACGGCTAAAGAGATCGGAATGAAATTCGGAACAGAGATAGATTATAGTTTTGAATAACACATAGAGTACTTATTATCAGCAAAGCCGCAGATAGAATCTAGTTGTAAAAAAAAATTAAAAGTTGTACCTACATAATATTTTTGGATTTTTCTTTCTTGCTAACTCATCAATATTCGATACAGAAAGGTCAAAGTTAATAACCAATCGTATTCGGCCAATATTCTAATTAGTTAATGAAAGTGATTAACTTCAAAGAGTTTTGATATCAACCTTGGTTTTTACTGTTAACCTTTTAAAAATGTGATATCATCCTTTATAATAAACGGTGAGTCAAGTGTCAACTTAAACTATGAGTAGTTTGTTGATTGAAAAGAAAGTTGATAACGCAAACAGTGCATTTTTTTAAACGTTGCCCACACTGGGAATTTTTCCTGCGTCGTGGGTGCGTTTACAAACATACAAGTTCACATACACATGGCACCCAGACCCGAAACAACAATTTATGGATCACAAAGAGAAAGTGAAAATTGTCCTATGAGTTTGATCCTTAAGTCAAGCAAACTGTTGTGAGTTATGACTCAATACCACATAATCTGCAGCGGCAATCAATTACTCATAAGAGAAGTAATCTTTCAGTATTTTGTAAAATTAAACAATAATATTTGGAAAATTAAACATCAATTCAATAACAAAATATTAATTGAAATATGTCACAGAACATGAAGTATTAAATTTAATCTTGCAAACCTTTGCAGCGTTAAATGGAATTATTTTCTTCTATAACTGTGAGGGTAAAGTCAATTTTAATTTGGAAGTTAATTTATTAACAGGAAACCTCACGAAGTGAAATACAGATTGGGGTCACGTCTTTTTTAGGAGTCTGTACGAATATTTAACAGCGACACTGCTCGTCTGACTGTGTGTCGCTATCACTTATCTAGAAAATTAAGATAGAATTTGTACAAAATAAACTTGCTATTATTACAGTGTTCTGATAAAAAGTGAATTATTTTGCGAATATTCACCTACAATAATTAAATAGACATAGAATATTGTCGCGGAGAACCTAACGGGTTACCGGGGCTCCAGCTCGACGTGCAGGAGAAGGAACGGGGTGGTTTTTAGTCAGTAAGAGTCTAAGTCTAGTCACTTCCTTCCGCCTCACCCAGGCGGGAACAGTCATTCGATGATTTAACCCCTTAAAAACATAAAAAGACATAAAATATTGAATTAAATACATTAGCACCCAAATTATAGTTCTGTTCTCTAACCTATACTAATATGGCG